GCAGGATTGATGTCATATTCGGTTTTTATTCTAATTTCATTATCTTTTAATGATACCATTTAAATAACATTACAATTGCCTACAACCATCTGTTAAAATAAATAGCAGTGTAATCCAGAACCTGATGAAGGACAAATCTTAATTAACAGAAAAGTGCCATATTGACAAGAAGCTTAAATGTTGATATTTTCCTGCCAACTTGTAGATTTTGACATCTTCTCAAAATGGTCGGTTTGGGACATTCCCCAAGGTCTGTTTGTAAATGATCAATTTTCTCAATAAAAGGAAAGAAGTGAAGTCTGTCAGAAATCTGGGTTGGTCCTTTTACATTTATTCATAGATTATCTCAATTTAAGCAGTGAGCAGTGAACTGGCCAAGTTTGTACAGTGTATGATACCTAATTATTATGAGGGATGGTAAAAACAAGATAAAATTGTGAGATGCTCTAGAAGAATTTCTTTAAACTGGGTGAATTTAATTGAGTAGTCAAATGGCAATTTAATTCAAGTTTAAAGTAATGCACACTGGAGTAAAAAATTCCTATTTCACATATATATGGTCCTGAGATCATAGATGTCTGTAACAAATCAAGAAACTCTTGGGCTCATCTCAATGTGCACAACTGTAATTTAAAAAAAAAGGCAAATTCTGTGCTGTAGATCATTAGGAAAGCCAATAGAAATTAAATAGCTAACACTGCAATGTGCCTCTCTCGCTTTCTTTCTCTTTTTTTCACTTTTCCAGCTTCATTATATCCAAATGTAGATCTCTCTCTCTCTGTCTCTCTGTCTGTCTGTGCCTCTCTCATACACACATCTACATTTGGATATAATGAAGCTGGAAAACTACATAGGGGGCTCAAATACCTTCCTTATGAGAAAAGGGACAAACATAGAATACTTTTGAAACATAATGGTGACTGAGAAATATGATCAAGATGTAGAAAATCACTTAAGGCATAGAGGAAGTACGCAGAAAACTTTTCTCTGCGTCTCAAAGTGGGCCAAAGATCCTCCAAAAAAAACCCTGATTAGAATGAAATTTAGAACTGTCAGAAGAAAGTATTTCTTCACAATAGCATATAATTAATTTGTGGAAATAATTGTCACCACACATGGTAATTGCTACTTATAGTACATGAATGGTTTTAAAAGGAGGTTGGGTAAATTCATGGAAGACAGTTCTATCAATGACGGATAGTCTTGGAATTTGGTATCAATTAGTTGTGGGCAACCAGTCATCAAATACCTTTTTCAGGGGGAAAAATTAGGGGTCTCCATCTCTTATATTTAGGTATACCAGAGGCATGTAGTTGACCACTCTGAAATATAATGTTTTGACTAGAATTGACTTTGGTCTGATCCACAAGTTTGTTCGTTTGCTTTATGGAAGACTCTATAATGTTGTTCTTAGTGTTTGTCCCACTTGGTATGAAGCCCTTTGGTAGTGCATCCACCTAGTTCATGCAGAGAAGCTATTGATGCAGGATGCAACAATAAATTGGTATTGCTGCTCATACCATGCTATCTGAAGGATTCTTACCTATTTAACACAGCATAGTAGTTGCCTGAAGTAATGATGTTTCACTTTTACCCAGTAAAATTGGACAAAATATCTTAGGAGAAAGCCATGAGTGTTAAATCAATTTATTACACTAGAACGTAGATATGTCTTAATTAACTTTTTACTAAAATGTATTTTCTTACCAGGTTACATCTCAGACACAAGTCTGTAATCCAAGTAGTGACCATTTAGCCAGGCAGACTCAAAATGCAAACAACACAGATAGAGGAGTTTGACCAATAACATCACTCATCACATCTGCAAAACCACTATTGCCACAAACCACAGATTGTATGCTATGTTATAAATAACCAGTTTCCATTCTTTCTATTAAGTGGGCCTGCTATATTTCTGTCACACCATGATTTAATCATTTTCCATGTCAACAGCACAAACAGTGAAGTATCAAAAATAAGTATAGTCCCTCAATTCAATCTGTTTGATGTTACGCTTCATTCTGTTTTAAAATAAGGGTCTCAGTTTGTATATCATGTATCCATTGATATTCAGGTTGACTTTTCAGAGTTAAGTCAGTTTAAATATATAATAGATTCTCATCCTGGAAATGCCAATGTTGGGGGTGGGTGGGTTTGTTATAATTGTTTTTCTAGATGTCTTTAGGTTGTAGACACAAATACATTTTTAATCTGGTGTTCTCTACGCAGAACCTTTATCTGCTTAACCTTCTGAAATTGGTACCTGTTTAAATATACATCCTTTCATTCACTGCCCAGGAGAGCATTCATATTACCTTAGTTCAGTGTTTCTTGAACTTTTTTTATTATTGCTATCCTAAGGAGCCTTTTCCTAATTATCTCAATGAAATTTGAATATCATAGACATGCTATATCTGTTTATGTAGTTTATCTATATCTATGCTTCATATGATGACTGCTATCAAGTCTGTGCCAAATCCTACACTCATACATTTTCTCCATGTTGATATGTCTTTAATTTGGTCCTTAAGATCTTCCAAGAGTGCATTATTGCCAGGAAAACTGAATACACCAACTTGCTGCTAGGCATCTTCTTTTTCTTTTTCCTTCTTCCTTTCTCAGTATTGGTGCCTTTTCTGGAGAGCTAGGTCTCCTGACATAATGTGTCCAAAATAGGATAATTTAAGACTGGTTATTTGTGCCTTGAGTGAGAAACTTTGTGTTGATTGTTTTTGATCATCCATTTGTTTGTTTTCCTGGATGTCTACACATATCAAGTTCAAAGGCATCAATACTTTTCCTATCTTGCTTTTTCAAAGTCCAGCTCTCCCTTCCATTGTGTTGTAGGGATTACTATGGTTTGCACTATTCTGATCTTTGTAGCTATAGAGTCTAGACCCATCACAGCATCTAAATATGTTTTCCAAGAACTTCATATCGGTTTTACCAGGTGCTTGTCTTCAATATGTTTCTTACTTGTTACTTTACTGTTGAATTTTATACAGACTTACTTTTTTTATCCAATGGAGGAAAAGAAAAACTAAATAGGATGTTTAAGTTAAAAGTTAAACATTAAAGATCTATTAACTTTCAATGTAAATTTATAACTGTGTTTGCTGGGTAACTTTAAATGTTATTTATTTAGTTATATAAATTGTAATGTATCAAATTATATATACAAATTAGGATTTTATGTAAGTACATAATGATTATAACAATGTAATCATTTTTTTAAAAAAAAATCATTCAAAACTATTTTCCAGCAAAAGTAAAGCAATTGAAAAAGTAAATTTATTTTTTAGGAATAATTTTTGTCAACTTTTAACATTTGCTTGATATGAGAAAGTAGCATTTAAATTAAGCAGTTTACAAAGGAAAATTACTTACCTAAGAACAATTCAATGGGATTTCTGAGCTTGATGGTTTTTATCTAAAAGTTCAGTGTTTGGTAAGATGTTAGTAAATTTAATTCTGACTTCTCCTCTTGAACATACATCAATTATGTCTCTTTCCTTTGTTAATATATTATTTATTCAACTACTTTCAACTGTACAAGAGAAGCACTTTTGCCATTTCAAACCACCATAAACAACAATTACAAGGAAGCCCATAGAAGCCAATAGGCACTGACAGGCTATTTGCAATACAACTTCAGGATTGAGCAATCAAGTGAAAGTACTCCAATCACACATCTATTAACTGTAGTTTTGCAGTGCTGATCTTTGTTTATCTTTGTTTTGTTTATCTTTCATGAACTCAATGTCAATGCTGCTCATTTGTTACCCAAGAAAACCCAACAAAAGGAATTAAAGGCTGAGAAATAATATTTTGATGGGAAGGATTGAGCTTTGGAGGGCCATAAACCATTGTAATATTGAAGATATTGTTGCTGTCTATATTTGAACTACCTGTATATTTTTGCTGTAGTATGTTGTGGTTTAGTAAGATTCCCAGTCTAATTTCTGGTTTATTTTGTCCCCATGGAGCAGTGGTGGGATACGACTTGCAATTATCATGTTGCAGCATCCTGAAGTCATGTGATCGGCACTTGTGATCTTCACTGCCAATTTCTTACAAACAAAGTCAAAGGGGAAGCCTGTGGGAGGTCACAAATAATGATCACATGACTGTGGGATGCACAACTGTGTGAAATTCAACTAATGATGGGAAATGGAACTGCTAGGTCTGCTGTAATAAGCGGTGTGGTCACCATGACATATTGCTTTACAACCACTTCACTTAGCATCAGAAATCTTGTCCAAAACCATAGGTAAACAAGCAGTACCTATAAAATAACTGACGAATGTGCACAATGTTCTCGACTGGTTTCAGAGACGATTTGTCTATGTAAGTTCTATTTTATGGGCAGGAAGTGTGCTTTCAAGAGCTGCTTGTGAGCTTCTCAGAAACATCCAGTTCACCACAGAACAAAACAAGAAAGAAGTTTGTCACCCCAGTTCTCATTGACAGTGTGCAACAAGTCCCTTGAAGAAAGGTTGGGATGAAATGACATTGCTGGTATATCAAAGAGCATCAGAGGAAAATACAGAGGGAGCCCCAGAAGTTTAATCTCTTGAGCTGCCTGACCAATGCTATTGACAATGTGTCATCTCAAATTGCATCAGACAGCAGAGAGAGGCATGCTTGAAGTGTCCACATACTGAGGACACTGGCTCATTTAAGCTTAGCCTCTCTACTTTAGCTGTCTCAAACTGTCACATTGCAACATTCTGCTTCATGTCAGATGTTAAAAGTCAGCCATTTTGCTAAGCTGCCATAGAATTTAATAGGATATGAAAAGCTTACAGTATGTGTCAAAAATTCAGCAGCTGGCAATTAACACGTCCTGCTTACTTCATTGTTCAAAGGTTGCAGGGGTAAACCTTTTCACAGTAGCAGAGTGGACAATTGAAGGTTGTGGTTGTGGGTACTCAGAACTTCATTTAACAAGCAATTGGCAGGATCCTGTCAGAGGCTAAATGTGTTTTCTTTACTTACAGGTCAAAGGAAATTTTGAGCTAACCAAAGCTAAATGGCTTGAGTATAAAGATGAATGTTTGAAGAGACTACAAGAATCTAAAATTAGTACAGGTAAGGCAAAAATCTACCTTCCACTATCTACCACCAGGAACATGAAGATAACAGCTCTTACATGTCCACACCATGTTCCAGTGGTCTCCACATATTGAGACAATGCACTTCAAAAGTAATCAGCTGGACTGGGTCTCCAAAGCAAAAGTAGAAAAGAGAGATTTGTTGTTGTTTTCCTCTTCACCTGCATAGTAAGCGATGCCCTTGCTGAGTCCTCAACTTGCAACCAGTCCTAAAGTCCTTGACTTACGACCGGCCGCAAGTACTCTACTTACCACTGACAGCCGGCAACAGCTCAGCCACACCTGATTGGCTAAGGCATGGCTGGCTGAGCGCAGGCTGTCTAAGCAATCCTATTGGTCGCCCTGCTTGACAGCTCTAGTATAAATAGGTGCTGAATCTCTGTACATAGTTTGTTGTTGCCGTTCTACCGAATAAATAGCTGTTCTTCTTACCTCAGCTGCCTTATACCTCTTCAATTAATAATGAATCTAACAGCCCTCTTGCTGGAAACGTATAGCATAGCAACAGCTATGTTTGCCGCTCGATCTTGACATCTTCTGGTGTCTTGGAATTTCTTTCCCCCTGAAAATAAGACCTCCCTGGATTATAAGCCCAATCGGGCTTTTGAGCACTGTGCTAAAATAAGCCTTCCCCAGAAAATAACCCCTCCCTGAAAATATTGCAACACAGCAACAGCTATGTTTGCCGCCTCCTGCACCTCAAAAATAATGACGTCCCTGAAAATAAGTCCAAGCACTTATTTTGGGGGGGGGGTCAAAAGAAAATGAGACCCTGTCTCATTTTCGGGGAAACACGGTTGTATGAAAGCAATTGTAAAATACTGTGGTCATTGTCCCATTGCTTCCTAGCTATTTTCAGAGATGGCTTTGCTACTTTGGGTGAGCATAGATTTTTCTTTGTCTTTTCTCTTCACTGTCCAAAGTACATGTGGTGAAAAAAGAACAAGAGGTTGTGGGACTTTTATATTGGCTAGATTTGGGGGTGGGGAGAGCTTGTAATAGCAATATGATGAAATGGAATTAATTATAAGGGATACTCAGCTTCATGAAGGAAATAGATCCTGTTTTGGTTTGTAGAAAACATAACATGAAATAAAAATACTGAAAATAGCTTATGAAAAATGGAATCACAAAATAGTGGCCATATTATCAACAATGTCAGTAATGATATCAGTGGATTGTGTCCAAAAGATGTTACACCAAAAAATATCAAAGGTAGAAGAAATTTAATACAACAAGGTAGAGATAGTATTGAAAATGGATAGGTCAAGAGAATGGTTTAGGAAATAATGTTTCACTGGACCTATAGAAGAAATAGGCTGAAGTTTTCAAATTTAAAGGGGAACTACAAATGACAAACCAGAAGAGTGACCTTGATAATTTTTTCCTAATGGATTTCCAAAAGAGGCTAGGACAAAGAAGAAATTAAAACAAATCAAATCATATGACAATATTTTAATGAGATAAAGTTTATGACTGTTAGAAGTAAAAGGTCTCTGATAATATCTCTAGTCCAGAAATCTTTTTGGCCAAGTCCTTTCAAATCCAAATCAAATCTTTTCTTGAGAAAAACCAATGTCATTCTGAAAAATAGATATTACCCTTGAAATGCTGTTTTTCTGTGTCAACCAATCCTAAACTGTCCATCTCAAAAGTTCTGTCGCTGTGGAGAGATCACTCCATTCCAATCCTCCATCAAATATCAATTTTTCATAACAGAAACCTATTAATATCTCCATAAGTCATCTATAAAACAATATTTGCTTCTTATTAAAGACATAACTTCCTAATATCAAAGTCCTAACCACATGTAGAATAATTTCCACCCCAACAAACTTACCATGTTATCAGTCAAAACAAATCTTAGTTTTAATTCAGGATTAATATATAAAATAACTTTTCTTTTCTCTTGCAACTGCTCAGATAAATTTTTCATCCTAAGTTTTATAAACCAAGTATCTTTTTTCTGATATGGGTTTCTTGAAAGCAAATAATGTCTTGGATTTTTTAAAAAATAATAATGATGATTTTTGTTCTGTTTTGAAGAACATTTCCTCCACTTAAATCTCTTCTAAAGCATTTGTAATCCATGATCAGGCCAACATTTTAGAAAATTCAGTAAACAGAGCATCTAATTTAGAATTATCTCTTTCAGATTCCGATTGCATCTATTGTGATTTTGTGTAACCGCTTCTGATATCTCCATTTGTATTTCCTCCAATTCTTCTTTAAATCTTTCTAGATAATCTCTTTCCTTCTGAACAGCTAACTATCTGCTTTAAAAGTAAAAATCATGCTTTCCAGTCTGGAAATATCCTTTTCTGGTTTACTCTTATCAGTAAAATTTAAAATCTGCTTCATTGTTCTTCTATTCTCGATACAAAAAGTTTGCTAGAGCTCATCCTTTCTGTAATATGTTTATCAGAATGCTCAGCAATTGCTCTACATCTCAAACAAAATTCCTTCACTCTTAATTCCAATAGAACCAAATTGTCTAATTCTCTTTCTAACTGTCTCTTTAAGTCCTTCTTGCTTTCGAAAATTTCCACTTTGTGTCAGATGCAAAGAATCAGGATCAAATGTTAAGTTCTAGTCAAACTTACTTATTACTCAAACCTGTGCAACAGAATCTAGACAACTAACAATCAGCACTAAACTGGTGCTGGATAAGGGAACAAAACTCAGCGGAGACTAGACTTAGTTCACTTGTGGGAACAGAACAATTCCTCTCTTGACTCTGCCCTCAGGTTCTGCCTCTTCTTTTGCAACACTTTGTTATTAATCTGTTTTACTTCTCCTCTTCTCGCCTCTCCTCTTCTACTCTTTTTACAGAGTTTTAAATCCTTCTGACTTCTTAATTCATCATTTCCTTCATCTTTATAAATATTTCATTCCATCTCATTTTGAAAGCTTAGTACCAATTAACTTAGTTTCAATTAAGCTGGGAGTTTCGTTTATAAAAGAAAATATAATTATTTTAGATGGAGATTAAATGAAATGTTATTATAAAGAGGAGCAATAGCGAAGAACTGTAAAAGGAAAGTAAAATAATTGAAACTAATTTTAAATGAAGGCATTGTTTTAAGAATGGCTTCGAAGCAAGTAAAGCTTTTATTAGAGGCTATTTTATATAACATAATGCTGAATTTAAGAAGATAAATTCAGAAGAAGACTGCTAGATAATAGTCCTAATAAAATGGGAAAATAAGCCAGCCTACTTACTTAAAAAACCCAGCTATCTGGAAAAAGTCTAATCTGGGAAAGCTAGAAGGAAAGAGAGGAAGAGGATAACTGGCAGCAAGGTGGATGGATTTAATCACAGTGACTATGAGTGCAACTTTGGAAGACCTAAAAGACCAAAGTTAGGGATAGATTGTCATGGACAACATTTATCTATCTGGTTGCTAGGAGTAAAAAAAAAAAAGAGAGCTGTTTTCATGTTTTCAACCATTACTGATTTCTCTCTTTCTTTCCTTTCATTCATCTTTATATCCTACTGAGATATAACACAAAGTTGTGACCTGGCCAAGGTGATAATTAGCTGAAATATTATTTGTCTGACTTACCTAAATGCTGGTTGTTACTCATGTTTAAACTTTCTGACTAATCTTTTGGCCTCTTGAGATCAGTTTGAATTAATTTCTGTGGTTTACCATATTGTGCTTGCTTTTAGTGTGTGGTCAAAGAAATTCTGAAAATGAAAAACAGCAAAAAGTCTGTGAATATATAAATAAGGGGATGTGGTTTTTTTTAAAATGTAAAGTTCAAAATGTACTATATATAAATATAAGAAAGGATAAAGAAAAGACAAAGAGAGGAAAAACTAAGTGGGGGGATGGAAATTTATTTTATATTTATACTCCCATGCCTTTTAAGTGTATTTGTCATGGTTGCAATCTGACAATTTGTATTTATATTTATTTTGGTTGGTCTTGATATTGTTAGTTTAATAAGCTGTGTCCTAAACAAAATTACTATTTCTATCTACCTGGAATCTCAGCCAACCATGTTGGTTTGCAATATGGTGCCATGTTAGTGTTAAAACAGTAACAGAATAGGTTTCTGATAAAGAAATAAGAAGTGAGATGGCTTCATTTAAAAATTGGCTTAGTATCAACAATATCTGTTTCATTTATGAAAGAAAAATAAGTTGGCAAATGGTACTCTTAATATACTTCTTATGGTCAGCATTTAAACCTATTTTCAGAAAGGTACTGTAGCTTGGTTACAAAGAGTAATTTTATGTTCACATTAACTAACAAATATGCAAAGTTACATATTGCTAGCATAATTACTGTAGAGCTTAGTTTAGTGATACTGCATTCCTTGATGATCAATTTCTTGTAACATTTTGTTACCTTTCAAAAATATTCTCTTTCCTTCTTCACAGGAATATATTGTAATGGAAGTTTTGATCAGTTTGCTTGCTGGCCTCATTCACCACCAGGAAATGTCTCAGTTGCTTGTCCATCTTATTTACCATGGCTTAAAAATGGTAATACAAACTTGGAAACTGCGAAATTGTAATACACTATATAATTTTCCTTTCCTTTTGGAGTTCTATATTGGGTACACCATGACCTAAAATAAAATTATTCTGTGCTAATAGTATATGATACATTTTGGAAAAATAACTAAATTACAATCAGATTCTGCTATCATCAGTACAGAGTATAGCAATTATAAAAGTAGTGGTATTAAGATCTGGAACTTGATTACCTTCCTACATTTGCAACAGTCCCTGAAACTGAACATCTAAGCTTGGGAGGGGGCACCTCTTACTTCCAGATATCCTGAATTGCAGTTCCAATCATCTTTTACCTGCTAGCAAAATTGGGTGCAGTTCAGCAGTCTTTGGAAATAAGCTAAAGCTAAAGGTTCCACTTGCACATATGTGCTAGTCATTCCTTACTCTAGAGGGCAGTGCTCATCTCCATTTGAAAAACCCGAAGAGCCAGCGCTGTCTGAAGACGACTCCATGGTCATGTGGCCGGCATGACTAAATGCCAAAGGCGTATGGAACACTGTTACCTTCCCACCAATAGGGGTTGCTATTTTTTCTACTTGCATTTTTACATGCTTTTGAACTGCTAAGTTGGCAGAATCTGGGACAAGTAACAGGAGCTCACTCCATTATGCGGCACTAGGGATTCGAACCTCCAAACTGCCAACCTTTCTGATTGACAAGCTCAGAGTCTAAGTCCTTTTGGAAGTATTGTACCCATAACTGTTGCAATTGGATTGATTGTGTCATTTCTTAGCAGTTGTAAAGATATGGTATGGCATTCTACTATTATATTTGTACATCTATGCCATTGCAAAGTTTTTTCTATAAAGAACCAGTAGTTCTGTGTGCTTAACATCACAAATCTGGAGTGATTTTCTTAGGATATTAGCTAATGCTTAACATAACTAAATGGGAAGACATCCCACACACCCCAGAAGCAGAATACAAGATTGATGTATTCACATTTTTATTTCTAGCCAAAGGGAACATAAGTAGAACTAGAAAGACTTCTGTTGGCTAAATGAAAGATCAGTTGGCTGTGTTTATATAAGCATGATCATCACAAAATGATTGCGACAGTAACTGATGGAAGCAACATAAAACAATCTAAAAATCATGGAAAATGTGGGGGGAGTGTTCATATGTCTTCAAATATAGTTGTTTTTGGTGATGATCAATCATGCTTAGGAAAGAGATATATCTGAAGGAAGGATGGATGCCTTAAATTACCCATGGATGTCACATCAAAAGACAGTAGAGATGGACCAGAAATCTATTTCCATAGAAAAAGACCCCAATTATGTTGAATTAATTAATGCTTTGTAACCTCAAGTGCAATTTATTTAAAGCATGACAAAGATATTAAAAGTTATTTAAAGAAACACAGTCTTATCCCATGGGTTTAGGCTTTTAAAAAGATTTAAAAATAGGGAATTGTGCAGCTTTGGCAGTGTTAATCCACTGAGAAATATTAAGCTTTCTACAGTTACCTCCCAAATAAACAGGCATTAGAAAGAGCTGCCCCACAGTAAGCCTTTTTTTGGTCTTTCCATGCATGGGATGAAAGGGTGACAGCAATAAACCAGGGCTGAAAAATGAAATGCATGGCTTGACCTTTGAGCTTGTGTCTGTTTACTTTTAGGAAGCTCAAGGAACATATACAGAGTCTGCTTGGACCAAGGGATTTGGCAAAAGATCGAAAATACAACAGAGGTTTGGAGTGATCGCTCGGAATGCCTTGAGAATCATTTCAAAGTAAAAGTGAGCAGAGTAATCTTTTATGGGAGACCCATTCACTATTTAATCTTCTCTGGGAATCCTCTTTTGACCTACTGAATATAGATTAGGTGAAAATTGGCTTAATGCCAGTAACTGTGAGAGGGACCTTGGAGTCCTAGTGGACAGTCCCTTAAAAATGAGCTAACAGCGTGCGGCAGAAGCCAAAAAAAGCCGATGCAATCCTGGGCTGCATTCACAAGAAGATAAAATCAAGATCAAGCGAAATTCTAGTATTGCTTTACAAGGCCTTAGTAAGACCACACTTGGAATATTGCATCTGGTTTTGGTTGCCACAATACAAAAAAGATGCTGAGACTTTGGAGAAGAGCTACAAAAAATGATTAGGGGGCTGGAGGCTAAAACATATAAAGAATGGTTACATTGGATATGGATGAAAAAAAGGACTGGGGGGAAGGGATGTGATAGCACTGTTCCAATATTTGAGGGACTCCTACCAAAATGAGGGGGGGGGGTCAAACTATTTTCCAAAGCACCAAAAGACAAGACAAGAAACAATGGTTGGAAAGAAACCAAGGACAGAATCAACCTAGAACTAAGAAGACATTTCCTAACAGTGAAAGTAATTGGAATAGCTTGCTCGATCACTGAAGGCCTTTAAAATGAGACTGGACAACCATTTGTCTGAAACAATATAGGGTCTCCTGTTCGAGCAGGGGGCTGGACAAGAAGACCTCTGAGGTCCCTTCCAACTCTATTATTCTATGTTCTGTCTTATTTGGTACTGTGATTACAGCTCACCTATGGTGCAACTTACCTTGCATGAAAATGGGTAGCAGAAAAGAGGGTTAGCATGATTTAGACTGGAGACTTAAAGGAGTCCCTCACCTTCTCTCCTTTGGGATTCCAGACTACAGAGTTTATTCAAAAGAAGCACATCAAATTAATCTGAGAGACAAGCCATAAATACATTGAGCAAGATTCCACATTTGATTTAGTTTCCTTATTGACTATACGGCCTCCTTTGAGAGTTTGCATACTGGGTTTCTATACCCCAAAGAACCCTAACTTGTAATGATTTTTTGCAAGATGAGTTCAGAAGTACAGTTTTAACAATGTTATGGCTCCCAGGTATAAAATATAGAAACATTCAGGAACATGCACAATGATTAGATAGCACATATGATCTATTTTCCACAATGGTCCTATATAAAGAAGAAGGGAAGTCAATACAGAATGGAGGTTTGGCTAATAAAACAAAATAAACAAATGTCTCTTACACAGAGAAAGAAAGAAAGAAAGAAAGAAAGAAAGAAAGAAAGAAAGAAAGAAAGAAGGGAGGGAGGGAGGGAGGGAGGGAGGGAGGGAGAGAGAGAGAGAGAGAGAGAGAGAGAGAGAGAGAGAATGAGAGAATATAGTGCCTTTTTATGATGGATAATTTTTCTTTTGGTAGCAACACCATAATTCTTACTTTCAGCCATTACAGGTTTTTTTGCATAGCACATTTTAATGCTTTCTCCACTACAGTTATGAATGGCAGATATAATAGAATCCCTCTAATACTTAAATAATGTCCTTGTTCCTCTGGTGAACCTGAAACTCTAGAACATATTTTCATAAAGCATAAATTATATGTGCAACTGCATTTTCAATTAATGTGTCCTTGAATGGAAAGAATGCCTAGCCAGGCTGAAGTTTTCTTCAATGACAGACATTTTAAAATCACATTTTTAATTGCTAGGTTTTGTGCCTTAGCCATAAAACTGCATCACATCCAGTTTTGTTAATAGAACCACACCATGTGTTAAAGTATTAAAATATTATTATATTTTGGGATTATATTTAGGTTGTTTTAACTTATATTTACAATGGTTTTGACAATCATAAAGATTAATTGACTACTATTAGCTCCTGTTTTTGAGTTTCCTCTGTCCTGGCACTTTGGAGCTGTCACTGGAGAAGCAATAATCAAATATAGAATTATGTTTCAAGTACTGACTGCTAAGTGTTTCTCTAAATATGGCATAAAGTGGGCGGTTATCTCCTTGTTTGTAGCATTAGGTGATCAGATTTGTTTTTTAATATGATACCTCTGAGTATCCTAAATCCTTTTAGGAGAAAAGCCGAAGAATTAAAAAAAGATAGAGGGATAGAGAATGAAACAGAAATGGACTCAAAATGATTTACAATAAGGGTAATAAACCAGAGGTATTGTAGCTGAAATTTCTGAGTGATCTTCAAGGAAAGGGCCGAGAGAGCGAATTACAGTCACCCGAATTACCGTATTTTTGGGAGTATAAGACGCACCGGAGTATAAGACGCATCAAGATTTTGAAGAAGCAAATTTTAAAAAAAGTTTTTGCACTCTGAAGACCTCCCCAAAATGGCCCGTCTTTCACATTTTTTGTCCAAAAAAAAGAGACATGCATAGACTTTAGGAGGCTGGGGGAGCAAAAATGAGTAAAAACAGCCCATTTTTCTCTCATTTCTGCCCTTCCCAGCCCCCAGAAGCACTCTATAAGCCTCCTAAAGACTATGCACATAGATAGGTAGTTAAGAATTTTGATATATAGATGGATGGATGGATGGATTTTGCAGCCAGCTGTATGTGTCAACATAGTAGTAGCTGTTTTGGGAACTAGGTACATAACTGATATTTATGAATTTATCTCCCTCAGGAAAACTTGACTGTATTAAGTATGTTGTTTCTTTGTTCTTTTCAGCCAGAAGACCTTACATTGTTTATGGTGTTTGAAAAACTTTCTACTGTGGGATATTCTATTTCTCTTGTTTCCCTTGTCTTAGCACTCTTCATTCTGCTGTTATTTAGGTCAGTATAACCATTTTCTTTTTCAGTAGAATATGGTCTGTTTAAACTATTCATTAGAATATTTTATTTATTTGATTTATGCATCACCACATATGTTAGAACAGAGAAGGAGATGATGTCAGACCTTCCCAATGGATTTTCCTTGATCACAGACTATGAAATATACAAAGAGGTAAAAAATGTCTTCCTACAACAGCCAAATTAGATATTAACAAAGGAAAAATAGATGAGGGAACCTTTCAGGAAGAATTTGGGGAGAGTCAGAGGAATGAATTACAAAATTATAGACTTTACTCGAACAATGAAATAATGTTTTTCATATCTCTTGCCTTAGTAAAATATTTTTTTTTGATGACTGCCAATAACATATCAAATATTGAAAATATTTGAAATATATCTTACCCTAGCATATTTACCCTGTCACCCAAAATTTTTGGCCAAAAGTATTTGCATTAGAATTAAATCATCCTTCCTCAAATAAGTCTGTGACAATCATGACTAGTTTGGAAATGTCAATCATAGAGAACCAACACTGAAATTAAAGGAATTGCTGAGGAACCACTGCATTCGATTATTTGTTTATTTAGGAGCCCTCCTGATGCAGTGGTTAGAATGCAGTACTGCAAGTTTACTCTGCTCACAGCCTGGAGTTTGATCCTGTTTGACTCAGCCTTCCATCCTTCTAACATTGATAAAATGAGGACCTAGATTGTTGAGAGCAATATGCAAATAATGCTAACTCTGTAAACCACCAAGAGAGTGTGGTAAAGCTCTATGGCATGGTATATAAGTCTAAGTGCTATTGCTACTACTATTACTGCAAACAAATATTTACTGTCAAGCCAGCCTCACATGTTCTCAGGTTTGATGACCTAGAATGGAATTGTCTTACCAGCTCAGCTTAAATACAAGCGAACAACCTTACCATGAGTTCAAGAGGGAAGATTGTTAGTGAAATCCATATGTAAATGGAACAACGGGATTCCTAAATTACAATTAAAATTTTACTACCAAGAATAGGATAGTACAGATTGCAATGAGATGAAAGGAGAGGAGAGAACCCAAACTCTCTCAAATCATTTTGACTGAACAGAATTATAACTGACCATGGAAAAACATCCTGAACCTCATGTTCTTGGTTCAGTTCTGTTGCAATTTGCATTGTATGATTTTATGTTCACACATAAAAGCAATGAAATGCATCAACTACTGAGCTTGAGAAAAGTAGAATAACCAGCAGAATTTTGCCTATGCTTACTTGATGCAAGAACATTATTCTTTTTTTAAAAAATGAACTTTGACTGTGCTAAATATTACAGTGATGTGTTGAGTACCCTTTCACAAAGCCATCAAACACATGTTGTGTTTGAAGTATACTACATCATATCAGTAATGAACCAAGTAATAACAGGCACATAATACAAGAGTAACATTAATAAGCTGATGCAAGATAAAGTGGTAGCAAAGTCTTTAACGAGAAGCCACTTAATGTAACAAAGTGTATAGTCTGGAGAATAGGAACGGAAAGAAAAATGAAAAGGAATTTTAATAGTTCCATATGGGGATTGGTTTGTTTTGATACCTTTGAGCCAATCTTGACTCCTGCTGCTGCGTAAAAAAAAGTCCCTGCAGTTTTCTTTGCAATATTTTCAGACGTAGTTTTCTCTTGCTTTTTTCCTGGGTCTGGGACAGAGAAACTGGTCCAAGGTCATGCAGCTGCCTAAGACATGACTAAAACTTATGGTTTCCATCTTTTTTAGCCTGGTGCCTTTAATCACTATGCCAAACTGGCTCTCATATGAAAAAAATAAGAGAGTTTTGTACAGGTGGCTTAATAAAAATATGCCATGGAATGGAGTCCTCAACTTTTCTCCAATGCTTATTTCTAACTTTGGACTTTGATTTGTTCTTCAGTGTTGCATGGCAGTTGTTGTTGATTTCATCATTTTAGAGTTTTAGTTATTCCAAAGTTTATTATATAAACATGGCTATATAATTCATGAAGACTACAGCAATCATTTCGTTTTAAAGGGCCAAGTATTTGGAAGGAAACGGGCTGTCTTGTAATGATTGTTTATGATCCTTGGTTAGATAGCAGACAAATAAGGAGAATGCTTCAAAGATGCAGAAACAAGACAAACATCAGTCTTTTTCTATGCATGATCTACAGTTTAGGCACATTTTGTTGTATCTGTTTCATTGATGCTTTTCAAAATATGCCAATTCCTGGTGGATCATTTCTAGTCAACATAACTCCCCTTGAGTTCTAATTAGGCAAAAGTATTAACCTTTGTCCCAGACTATTAAATCATTTCTGAATTTTGTTCTTTTTTACACAATTTCATTTTTGCTGACATGCGTTACTTATAGAAATCACAGCTATTTATTGCAAACATGTCATGGGTATGGAAAGCATATTTTCAGATTAAAATAGCAATAGAAGTAGCACTTAAGACTTATATACCGCTTTACAGTGATTTTCCAGCCCTCTCTAAGCGGTTTTACAGAAGCAGCCTATTGCTCCCAACAATTTGGGTCCGCATTTTGTCCACCTTGGAAGGATGGAAGGCTGAGTCAACCTTGAGCCTGGTGAGATTTGAACTGCCAAATTGCAGGCAGCCGCCAGTCAGCAGAAGTAGCCTGCCAGTAGTGTACTCTAACCACTGCACCAATGTACAAATGATCAATCCCATAGTTGGATTTTATAATATGAAGGTTACATAAGGATATTTTCATAAACATATAAAATATCCTTATTCGTTAATATTTAGTATTACATTATCTTTTAGTACTAGACCAAGCTTCAATTTCATTGTGCAATTTATTTATTTTTTGCTCTGAATTGGGCTAACCTAAAGTGAAAAGATCCAGAACTAAGGAACAAATGTAATGTTTAATGTTACTAAACTCTTGTAGACTTTTGTTGTGATGAGTGGTGAGTGGTGAGTGGTGATGACTTTGATTCCAGCCGCAACGCTTGTTACTCTGGTTTTGCTCAGTCCTGCTCAGTTTTATATATCTGCATGCATTTTTTTTAAAAAAAAACTGAATTAGAATTTTAAAATACTGCAACTTTGACATTTTGATTGCAATCATCAACATTATTACACTCTCAGCTAAACAGCTATATTTTCCTTTGCTCTGTTCAGACTAGAAGAACATTTTCCAGTACATAAACAGTAGCAGGAACATCTTGCAAATAATAATTCTTTTGTTTTAAATCAACATTTATTCTTGCTATGCATAAGGCAACACAGGTCCTCAGGAGGTGAAGGAGATGCACAATGAAGTTACCCACTGCCTAGCAAATTATATCTGAACCATTCCTCCGTAAGGACTCTTCCAGAATACAGTACATTAATTTGTCTTAATTGACCTCTGGAATCTGGTTATGTTGCAAATAAGAGCTTTCATTTGTCAAATGCAGGAATATTAATGTGATTATACTATGTTAGGAGGTCTCAGGTAGTGCTAAAAGTCTGAGCTTTTTGAAGTGATGATTTCATCCCGCCCCCCTTTAAAATGTCAGAACCCTCACAATCTTTCCTGTACTGGAAGCACACAAGAGAGGAACGCAATAAAGAAAGTCTGCACAAGCAGGGACGGGATTATGAACATCTGAGTAGAGGTAGTCCTTGACTTACAGCCTCAACTGAGCCCAAAATTTATGTTTTTAAGTGATACATTTGTTAAGTGATTTTTGCCCCATTTTATGACCGTTCCTGCCACACTTATTAAGTGAATCACTGCAATTTATTAAATTAGTAACACCGTGAATATGACGTCCCCACTGACCTTGCTTGTCGGAAGGTCACAAAAAGTGATCCCATGACCCCGGGCCACTGCAAATATCATAAATATGAGTCCGTTGCCAAGCATCTGAATTCTGATCACATGACCATGGGAATTCTGCAATGATCATAAGTGTGAAAAATGGTCACAAGTCACTTTTTTCAGCACTGTTGTAACTTCAAATGGTCACTAAAAGAACTGTTGTAAGTCAATGGCTACCTGTACCTGTATCATGATCTGATCACCTTATGGAGGGAACAGTGTACTAGGGGATTCTTTGTAATAGAACCTTTGAACAGAAGTTAATTTGGGAAAAATTGATTATGTTGGGAGGAGACGCAACATCAGAAGAATAAAAGCTTCTAATTCAAATGCAGTGAAAGCTCACAGGGACTTTTGAGTGCTCCTAATGTTTGGAAATTGAAAGTTGAAAAATTTGACACACCTGAGCTATGGCATTGTATACAGTTTCACCTGCCACACAACTAGCTAAGCTGGGTGTCAGCAACCCGTCGCTCCAAAGCCACATGCGGCTCTTTCGTCCCTCTGATGTGGCTCCCTGTTGGGCGATCCCACCATGTTTCCCACAGAAAAGAAAACACCAGGAGCCACAAAACCTGGGTAGGCTGACTGCGGAGTCATGTGACTGGGTGGGAGTGAGTGGATGTTGAGTTGGCCACGCCCACTCAGGTTTTGTGGCTCCCAGTGTTTTCTTTTCTATGGGAAATGGGTCCCAATGGCTCTGAGTATTTAAGGTTGCAGACCCCTGATCCAGTAACACTCATCATGGTCAGCCCACCATCATCCCCAAAGAATATAACTTCCCACTCTCATCAGGAAAAGAGCACGTACTTCTGATAAAACTTTAACAAACTTTGCCATATTCTTATAGATTGTGCTTCTCTTCTCCTTCAGGAAACTGCATTGCACGAGAAACTACATCCATATGAATCTCTTTGCTTCGTTTATCCTCCGAGCTGCAGGAGTTCTAATAAAAGACAGCATAACACGCAGTACTTACAAGTTTCTTTCTTCAGAGTCAGAAAGGCCAGCTGATGAAAGTGGATGGATTTCTTCCTTGAGTCCAGAGGTATTGCAGCAGGCACTCTCAGTGCTCATATTAAGTGACCAAAGCAGCAAGAGTGATGTCTGTTGTTGCCCACATCGATTTTTAAATTCAGAAATAATAAAATAGTTGCAGAGTTGTATTTTCTGATTACATTCATTTGTAGCATTTATATGATGCTCATCCCTTGTTTACTGCCTGAGATCTAATAGCTAATTTTAAGCAACAATAATTGATGCACAAAGGCAAGGTCAGGAAGCAGATTAAAATAGTTTTTGTCTGTATATATTGTTTATTGACTACTATTCTGTTAACTCTCAGAAAAACTAGCAAGAGCTATAGCACCTAGACTTATACACTTATTTACAGCCCTTTCTAAGTGGTTTTACAGAGTCAGTATATTGCCCATGGGTGGGTTCCTGCTGCTGCTACTGCTGGTTTGCTCAGGGATGCACTGCGTGTGCGCTTCATGCGCGTGCTTGATGCACGCACTTGATGCGCACATGCACAGTACTAAAAATGTTTCTGCACAAACAAAATGGCGCTACCTATGGTGCCACTGACAGAACCGGTTCAGGGGCATGGCAGGCCAGGTTACTACCTACTCAGCCAAACTGGTCCAAACTGGTAGAAACCCATCTCTGATATTGCCCCTTATTTTATTGACCTCAGAAGGATGGAAGCAGGGGTGGAATTCTACCGGTTTGGACCAGTTCGAGTGAACCGGTAGCTTTGAAGATCAGCTGGGTGTGAACCATTTCATTCCCACTAGCAATTGGGCCTGCACCCCCCCCCCGGGCTTTACCTACCTTTATCTTCTTTGCTGAGTTGCGTAGTAGAGTAGATTGCCATGCCTCAGCTTCCGAATTGATGCACACTCAGCGAATCAATTATTTAACAGGTAGGATCCCATCCCTTGAGCCAGTGAGAATTGAGAATTGCTGGCAGTTGGCAGAATTAGCCTGCAATGGAGCATTCTAACCACTGCGACACCACAACACAATAAATTAAACATGATATCCCAAAACGGGGCAGTTTAAAAGACAGGAGAAAGAAAGAGGAACAAAATTCAAACACTAAACTTCTGTATGAGTTTTCAACAGCCCTGCTTAGTATTAGCAACTCTTTTCCTCATGGACTTGAAATGTAATGTCTGACCAATTGTTTCCAGGAAAGTAGCATATATTCCTGCAGCCAATAAACTCAAGGGCAAAATAAGTTAATCCCTACTGGGATGCTGCATAGTGTTATTAATTCTTTTTGTCTCATTTTTGCAGAAACTAGCTTTATGCAAGATGGGCCCTCTTTTTATGCAATATGTTGTTGGAGCAAATTCTTACTGGCTTTTAGTAGAAGGAATTTACCTCTACAGGTTATTAGTAGCAACTGTGCTGTTTGAGAAACATCAGCTGCTGAGATACATCTTCATTGGATGGGGTAAGCTTGGATTTTTCTAAGGGGAAGATAGACTGATAGGTTTACATCTTTCAGTCAGTTTCATGATTGGTTCAGCTATTCAGCTGGGACGAGTCAAAACTAACCTTTGGTTTATTTCCTGTTAATTACCCTGTTGAAAATATTTCAGTCAGCATAGGAAGCTAAACTTGCTGTGTATTTTTACATCAAATTATTAGGTAAATGCAAGTCTTAAAGTTTGCTGCTGCCATTATTTGCTTGGAGACTTTCAAAGCACATGTAAACCAGAAGGCAAATATCTATGAACATATTTGTTGAGTGGAACAAGGAACAAACTCTAAAGAAAACAAAATTATTGAGACCATTGGCCTTTTCTTTATTTACATAACTAGTGATAATCCCCATATATCAGCTACCCTTGTTATAGTGATTTAATAATATATTAGACTGTGAAATTGGGGGAAAAATAGAAGGCCATTCTAACCAATCAAACTAGAAGAAATGCTTTTAACTCAGAACACTTGATATGGTCAGAAATCGTATTAGGCCTTGTCATACAAGAATATCCACCTCTTGTTTTTCCTTTCAGGTTCTCCAATTTTGTTTGTAGCTCCTTGGGGAATACTAAAATACCAATTGGAGCATAACGTGTAAGTTACTGCCTTAAATATTCCCTTAATCGGTTTCATTGTTTCTATTCTTGCCTTTTTTGTGCCAATAGAAAAAGAGCCTTTTGTTTATTTTCCCACAATGTTTAGATTAAAGATGATCAACCATTTGTTATGGCGGCTGCATTGCTAGGCAATAAGAAAACTTTTTTGCAGCCTCCTAAACACATTCTTATTAAGGGCATAATTTTAACTTTTAAAAATATATCAACTGGAAAGGTTAGAATGCAGCAAAAATCACTTCTATGGCCTTCTCCAGATTGAAAGAGGAGCAGAAAAAAGGACAGAATAGAAGAAACAGCACGAAAGGACAGAAATTTTCATCATGTTAAAACAGAAATCAGATTGCAAATATGTATACAAGCACTGACACAAAGATATGTTGGGCTGTGAATAATCCTAAACAAATGGCAAGACATTGAGATTAGAGTCAATGCATGTTTATCCAGCCAAACAACAGACTACTGGGCTTTGGCCATATTTAGAGTTGGGCTGGAACACCAAATGTGATAAGATAATTCTTGTGAATGATAAAGAAGGGAAAAACATAATCAACAGCTCTTAGGCTCTTCATTCTTAATGTTAAACCAGTCTAGACTCCCGGGATAGGCAACGTTTGGTACTCTAGATATTGTGAATTTCCAACATCCCATGGAAATACAGGTGATGGTCAAAAATGTGAGGAATTTCAATTCAGTATCATCCAGAGATAGAAGATTGTCTGCTTGTGTCCTTTTCTAAGAAATTAAGAATGTAATTCTGTACTGTTCTTATCTGGAAGTAGATTCCATTGCAGTTGCAATTTGCTTATTTGTAAGTAAGCATTATGGGATCTTAAAGTTTAGAAATACCCAAGGACAAATATTTTTTAAAAAAATATTATTATTATAATCACAACAACAGAATGCGGCCAGTTGTTTCTCTGGATTTGGCATTGGTTACTAGTCGGGCCCCACCAAGGGGCCTAGGACGTCGTAACGTATTTTCGTAATATGCGTGCAGATCCAAGCAGTGCAGCTTTTTGCATTTGACTGATGGAGATTTTGTCAATTTTTAACTGTTTTAAATGTAATTCCAGTGCTTTTGGAATAGCATCCAGTGTGCCAATTACCACTGGAATTACCACTGCTGGTTTGTGCCATAGTCATTGAATTTCAATTTTTAAGTCCTGGTATTTTGCGATTTTTTCATGTTCCTTCTCGGCGACCCTGCTATCACCTGGTATTGCGATGTCTATGATTGTGACCTTTTCTCAACCAGTGTGATGTCTGGTGTATTATGCACCAGTATTTTGTCCGTTTGTATGCGAAAATCGCACAAGATCTTGAACATCTGATTTTCGGTGACTTTTTCAGGCTGATGTTCCCACCAGTTTGTTGCTGTTTTAATATTATAATTTTTGCACAAATTCCAATGGATCATTTGTGCTACTGGATTGTGCAGCAATTTATTATTTAAATTTATTTATTATTATTTATTATTATTTATTATTGTTATTTATTTTATTTTATTATTTATTTTTACAATTTATTATTATTATTATTGTTGTTGTTGTTGTTGTTATTCACTCAATATATTGGCAATCTCCATTCCCATTATAAATAAGAAATAATGTTATAGTCTGCTACAACCGAAACCTTCAGAGATGTTTTTTAAAGGCTAAAAAAAGGGAGGGGAAAATTTGGGATTTGCATAATAACAGAATGAGTTGGAAGGGACTTTGGAGGTCTTCTAGTCCAACCTCTTGCTCAGATAGGAAACCTTACAACCATTTCATACAAATGATTGTCCAATGTCTTCTTGAAAACTTCCAGTGGATTATTTTTTAGAAACCAAGAAAGGTTAGTGTTGGTTCAATTCTTCCTTCCAAAATCCCTTGCATATCAAGTTTAGTTTTAATTTCTAAAGTGTTGCAGAACTGAGAACAAGTTTTGAGTCTAAAATGATCCAAAGATATACCTTATTTGTATTATCATCCTTTGTGAAGACTAGTGATATAAAAATCTAGATGACACTTTTTATACTATGCCACAAACAATTCTCATGAAATGGAGATCAGTCCATTGCTGGGTTTTGAATATTTTGAAGAACTCCTGACTCCTCTTCTTCTTCTTGCTATTGATCCTCTGGTCCATAACACTATGTTCCTTTTCACCAGAAGAGTGATGGATGGCTATCACATTTTGAATCAGGTGTCAGAGATTCAGAATAATTTTTAACAAGTGATTCTAGTTCCATCCTTCTACAATGAATAAATGAGTTCAATTTCAGAGGTTCTGAAGAAATCTCAAGAGGAAGGCTGGAGTGCTAAATTTTGTTTAAAATTGTGGTGGGCCATTGGAGGAAAAGTGTATTATCTATTCAATGGATTATTTTCCCAGAGAACAAAACATAAGATCTTAGGAAGGGATGAGAGATCTTGTATATAACCGCAGTTCTGCTGATCTTCCTTGAAACTTTTAACTCATATGAGTTTTGATACAATTCTATAATTCATCTTGAGTTTTAAAAACAATAATAACAAGCATGGTTTATTGTTTATTATTACATGAAATAATAAAATGTTATTTGTTTTCTAGATGCTGGTCAACAAATGAGAACATGATAGTCTGGTGGATCATTCGAGGACCCATATTATTTTCCATTGTTGTAAGGATCACTTGTTTGCAAATCATAAGTAACATCAGGTCATCAGTTCACATACAGGCCCTCCATTTACATAGAGTTGCCTTTCCAATGTAAGAAAGACACGAAGAATTCCTATTGTCCTGCTATCAGGTTTAGGTAGCAAATATGTAGTTCAAAAGACTAGATATTTGAAAATGTTATATCTTATATCAATGTGAAGTTGTAATTACTCCTTAACAGGAGTCCAGAGTTGTCAAGCAGCAACTTAGTAGGGAGGATCTATGTCCAATAATTACTATCAACATTATAAATTAGTAAGAAAAACATGTTTATTTATTGTTTTTGTGGAAATACAACATTCTTTATGTTCAATGATATTTTATATATATTTTTCTTCTGTAGCAGCCACTCAGCCGCTAGTACTAAATCTCAGCACTTTTCTCTTCTTTTTGGTTCACTACTACTCCTTTCCTTCCCTGATCTCCAATTACTATTAGTAAGCTATTTCAAAGTAACAAGCAGGACAGAGCAACAATATTGTATAGGAAATACTTGAAAGCCAAGATTCAATACATTAAAATTGTTAAAAACAGACTGAATGGTGTTTCTTGCAGTTGTCTTGCCTTTAGGAAATCCCTGATGGAAATAATTTTGTGGACAAACAAAATTTTAGCGATACCAATTGTAATGTGTGGTGTGTTTTTTCTAAGGTTAATTTCTGCATTTTCCTGAACATTCTGAAACTGTTACTTTCCAAACTTAAAGCTCAGCAGATGACTTTTCGTGACTATAAGTTCAGGTAGATATCACTTTCTTATAATTTTCTGCACCATTTAAAAGAAAACACAGGCTGGACTTGATTCACAGCCATATGGGAGTCTATATATTTGGCCAATATTGTAATACATATCTGTTTGACGTTTCACTCACCTGATAATGTAAATGAAAATCTCCAAAGATTTATATCAATGTTCCTCATTTTTTGCAACTTTTAGATCTACAGACTTCAACTCCCAGAATTCCCCAGCCATCTACAGATCTTAAAGTTGTCAAGATTGAGAACCATTGATTTACTTTGCTAAATGCATTTGTTATTAAAGGTCCAGAAGAATCTTTGCTGTTTCTTTTAGAATAATGTGTTGCTTTTAAAGAAGCTGAAATTGCAACAAATACTAAACTGTATACTAAACTTAAAGTGAAAAGTGGGACAATAAGCTGTACCAATCATGTTGCATTTTGGATAGCAAGTTAGATGGCTTCTCATGACTTTGCACAGAATGCAAGATTCAACAAACAAACAAATCCACAATTCCAAAATGTAAATCTGATATGATATGATATGACATGTGTGTGTGTATGTATGTATATGTATACACACACACACAAAATATGATTGATATATATACACATACATATATACATATACATATACATATATGTTGTGGCCCAGCAGGATCCGGTTGAGCTGCTGATGGACTCAGATAGCGAGGAACCATATGAGTCTGCCATGGAAGATGTGGAGGATCCTGTGC